AATGAAGGATTGCACTAAAAGAGCCCCTGGTCTGTCACAAAATAGCTAAAAAGAAACTACCACGATTTCTTGCAGGTGGCGCTAGGGAAAAAGCAGCGGCATATCTGCACATTCACAAAGGTGTGAAACCCAGTAAGAGCTCACCACTTTTCTCACAGGAGCTGACCCTGCTGCTTCCTCAGTCTGAGCGACCAAAGTTTTAAATTTTGCCTCCATTTGGGTCATATAATTATTTCTTATTTATGGAGCAGCCTATATACAGCTCATGCTTTACTAGTGTGAAATTAATTAGCAAATATTTGAAAAGTTCTTTGAAGTTGTGTCAGTGAGAAGTATTAACATTACACCATTATCATTAAGCACATAAAAGGCACAGGATCCTGTAAGCTAAATAAGTGGAGAAGGACTGTGTTGTGCGGCACTGCAGGAGGAAATGGCAAAGGGACAGGCTCAGCGGAGAGAGCAGCCATGGACACCTCTGCCCAACAGGTAAGTCTGAAGGGACTGTGCATCAGGGGGCTTGACACTGACCCGCCAGCATTTTCTGAAAGGACTAAATTCACCAAGGTCACTTTTTTTATACATTAAAGCTCTTTAAAAGGAGGTGGTGCTTCCACCTTATCATGGAAATCAATTCAATATACATAAAAATAAATAAATAAAATAATTAAACCTGATCAATTTGACTCATTACAATTTGTGTACCTGTGACAAATCACAATTAGAAAATTCATGAAGATAATGTGTATTACTCGAAGTTCAAAGTGTTTGGTAGATTTTACTTTTATTAATATTATTTACTTTGAAAGTTTGCTTTGATACATATATAATTTTCACTTTTATAAATATCTTTGTCTTTTAAACTTGAAAATTTGCTTTGATATGTGTACACCTATGTTTATGTCAAAATATAGAGATCATAGTATTTATTCACAAAATGTTATTGTAACTATAGGAAGATGTAGATCTAATTTTAAGCTTTAATTACCAAACATCACAGTGCTTCCTTGATATATATATTTTTGTTGTGTAATTTAACAGTTTAGTTGAAAACAAAAGAGGATTTTATTTCTCTCCATTATCAGTGCAATATGCTCAGATAGCAATTGATCAGAAAGTCAAAGAAGTGTGCTCTATACACTACAGCATACACAGATATAAATTTCATTTATGTGTTTCAAATTTTGATTTTTTTACTGAAATCAGCAGTTAGAAAGATAAATTTTTATATACACAATACAGTTTTTCCAAGGACTCCAACTAAACGTATAAACGCAGTTAGTCTGACCCTTACTTTTAATAAAATGATTTTTTTCTGGCTTTTATACTTTGCCACAACCTAGATTCTAAGTGAACAGCATAATTTTAATCATTGCTCATTTAAACATTTACATTGATAGCTTAATTTTCTGTAAAGAAAATAAAGTGCATTATTGAAATCAAAGTAGGTGGTTTTATTTTGAACCAAAATTTCAAATCCTGTCATATTAATTTTAAAAATCAAACAACTTTTTACCTGTTAATAACATTTTTTGAAAATGCAATTCATATGTCTGACAATTTTAGAAACTATGTTACAGTTTGGAAGTTAATAAGTAGAATCTTCTTATTTAATTTTGAAATGAATAGTTTTAAACTGGCTAATATATCCATCTTAGCAAACTGATATTGGCAGAGACACTTTGTCCATCTGCCTTTACAATTAATTTGATTAGTATTCCTCTTTGCAATTTAAGATGTATACAATAATGATTTTAGGAGCTCTGATGGTGTAATGGTTACACTTTGGGCTGCCAACCACAAAGTCAACAGTTCAAAACCAGTTCAAAACCAAGGGACCCCTCTAAAGAGTTAGTCTCGGAAACTCACAGGGGCAGTTCAACCCTGTCCTAGGGTTGCCATGATTTGGAATCAACTCAATGCCAGTGAGTACAGAGATAATAGATTTGGACTTTCAGATAAGTGATAATTGTGAATCAGAATGGTCTGTATTATTTTCTTTTTCTTCTGGAAATCAGAAAAGTCAGGTCCTAATCCTAATTCTGTCCCTAAATACATGATAGTAATATTTGAGATATCCCTACATAGGATGCAAATCATCCTTAGCTTTCACAAATGTCCTTTAAAATTGGTGTTGTTAGGTACCGCTGAGTTAGTTCTGATCCTGTGTATAACAGAATGAAACAATGCCCCGTTTTGTGCCGTCTTCAAAATTGTTCTTATACTTAAACCTTCTGTTACAGTCGTGTATCAACCCACCTCTTTGAGGGCCTTCCTCTTTTTTTTGCTGCCCCTCTACTTTACCAAGCATGAAGTCCTTCTCCAGGGACTGGGGTCTCCTGGCATGTCCAAAGTATGTGAGACAAAGTCTTCCCAAAAGGGTTATTTGCACAATCCCTTCTTTATCTAAAATGATCTTTATGTTGGAGAGGATTTTAAAGGCAAATAATAATCCAGTCGGTACACCTTACATAAAGAAATTACTTTGATATCATCGTGGTTCTCAACCTGTGGGTTGCAACCCTTTTGGGGGTCGAAAGACTCTTTCACAGGGTTAACCCGATTCATAACAGTAACAAAATTGCAGTTATGAAGTAGCAATTAGCAATGAAAATAATTTCATGGTTGGGGGGGTCACCACAACATGAGGAACTGTATTAAAGGGTCGTGGCATTAGGAAGGTTGAGAACCACTGTTTTAGAGTAAGAAAGCCATACAATAAATAAGGTGTATCTATATAGATCAATTGAATTATATTTAAATTGCCAATATTCAATGTGTTTAATCTTAAAATAAATAATTTCATATGGTTCAGCTATTACAAGAAGAGAGTTGAAAACAAGGAGAAATACACCTCATATATTTGCTACATCAAATTTTAAACTCAATTTATCACCAGGGCAAACTGCATTGAGTGTAATATGGACATGTGGGTATGCAAGAATATACACATGCACATATGAAGGAGCCTCAAATACTTCTTGTAAAGATAAAATTGAAAGATAGGAAATTTTCCCCACAAGTGTTAGAAGCTCCCTCATATATTCACACATACATACATGTACTACAAAACAAGAAATAAATACAGCAGCTGCAGTTCTCATTTCTGCAACTGGTCAAATGGACATAGCTGAGACTCTTCTCCCACCCCTTCCATATTCCGCCACTCATAGTTCTTTGTCAGGTGAGGTGACAAATCTTGTTCCTAAAGGATCTGGGCCATTATTAGTCATGTTGGAATTGAGTTGCTATTGTTTTACATTGACTTGAGTCATAAGTCATGATAGTACTAAGAGATATCCTAAGAGATCATCTAAATTGCAGATATATTCTTCTCAAACTTCAGTGTGTAAAACAATCAAATTTCTCCATGATAACCAGGATAAAGCACACCAGCCAAAATGGTTTTTTACTTCTTTGTCTATTGATTGCACAGCATGGGGGACCCAAAATGGCCTGCTATCATTCTTAACTTCTAGATCAAAAGAATCAGGGTTAGGCATCAAAGAACAAAGAATCCTATAATTGTGTGCCCACCTTCCCGATATGACCACTGAAGATAAAGGTGTGCATAAGCAAATGTGGTGAAGAAAGCTGATGGTGCTCGGCTAGCAAAAGATGTAGCCTGGGGTCTTAAAGACTTGAAGGTAAACAAGCGGCCATCTAGCTCAGAAGCAACAAAGCCCACATGGACGGAGCACACCAGCCTGTGTGACCACGAGGTGTCGAAGGGATCAAGTATCAGGCATCAAAGAACAAAAAAATCTTATCAATGTAAATGAGGGGGGAGTGTAGAGTGGGGACCAAAAGCCATCTGTAGGAAACAGGACACCCCCTTACAGAAGGGTGGCATGGAGGAGATAAACCAATCAGCGTGCAGTGTAGCAACAATGAAACATGCAACTTTCATCTAATTCTTAAATGTTTCCTCCTCCCCACTATCATGATCCCAATTCTACCTTTCAAATCTGGCTAGACCAGAGGATGTACACTGGTACAGATAGGAACCAGAAACACAGGAAATCCAGGGCAGATCATCCCTTCAGGACCAGTGGTGAGAGTGGCGATACCAGAGGGTGGAGGGAAGGTGAGGTAGAAAGGGGGAACCAATCATAAGGATCTACATATAACCTCCTCCCTGGGGGACGGACAACAGAAAAGTGGGTGAAGGGAGACGTCGGACAGTGTAAGACATGACAAAATAATAATAATTTACATAAATTATCAAGGGTTTATGAGGGAGGGGGTAGCGGGGAGGGAGGGGGGAAAATGAGCGGCTGATACCAAGGGCTTAAGTAGAGAGCACATATTTTGAGAATGACATGGGTAGTGAATGTACAAATGTGCTTTACACAATTGATATATGTATGGATTGTGATAAGAGTTGTATGAGCCCCCAATAAAATGATTTTTTTTTAAAAAGAATCAGGGTTGTATTTTTTGGTGGGAGAATTCCTCTCTTTAAAATTAAGACCCTTTGATCGGCATAGCATAAGGCTGACTAGACAGAAAACAAAAATTTTGTAGTGGGTCACTAAGAGTAATAGTGAGTGATGTCAATCTCATTTCAAAAACTCAATTCCTACACCAATAATCCTAGCTATGGAAGAAGCAGTAACATATTGGGTTGTGGTCGAGAGCATGTGCAGACTCCTGGAATACTGCCTGAGCCTTTACCCCTTGGCTAGCAGTATGTCTTCGGAAAACCATACTATTGTTCTTTTAAGCCTGTTGCTTCAGGATGATGAGGAAAATGGGAAATTCCATGAGCATGGGCTCATTACTGTACTTCATTTGCTATGAAGCGAGTCTCATAAACAACATTGTGTGGGATTCTGAAGGTGGAGAATAAGGCATTCTGTAAGAATGTAAATGGTACTTTTGGAAGAAGCATTTCAGGGCAGACAAATCCATATCCAAAGTAAATGCCTATTTACTTCAGAAAGAAAAACAATGCAGCCATTCCTATGATGGAAATGGTTCTATGTAATCAACCCACCATGAGGATGCCAGCTGATCTCCTGGATGAATGTTACCATATCATGGATGCAGATGGGACAGATGGGACAATAAGAAGTGGTTTAAAGCAAGCTGGCCTTGGCGAGTGGACATCCATGTTACTGAGCCCTTACATAGCCTCCATCCCTGCCACCATGGTAATTTTGTATGTAAGCCCTTGGGCAATGACAGGAGTGGCTAAAGAAAAAGATGACTGGTTTATACAGAACATTTCACCTCATCTCCTTGACTGCTAGAATCCTCCTCTGCTGAGGTAAATCTTTCATGAGCATTCATATAAGACACTAATATCTACACTTTTGGCTTACTAAACGATATCTACCCACATATCTCTTCTCCACATCCCATTGTCACCATTTTTCCAATCATGCTCCATCCAAGCCCTTGACCATCCAACCAAACCATTGGCCACAGTGTGTGTGTGTGTGTGTGTGTGTGTGTGTGTGTGTATGGCCATCTTGCTTTGAAGCAAACTGAATAACCAAGTATGTATGTTGTTCAAAGTTCTGCCCACTGAAAGGGGGATCCCCTTCACCACCCACCTTCAGAGAATTCCCAGAAGGAGGCTGCAGTGCTTCATTGATTTCTGAGTGGTACCTGTATGACGCAAAGGACCACCTCTAAACCAGACCTGAGTTTTTTCTGTTCCTCAATCAACTGATTGTGAGAAGCTTCCCAGGAGATCATATATGGGATAAAACTGGGATAAGGAAGGCCATGTGACAGGAGTAGGAACCTTGGGCATTTGGGCCGCTTCTCCATGTACCTTCAGGTCCTGCTCAAGCCTGATCTCATATGAACCCCTTCCATGTAATAATGGAGAACTGCTGGGTACATCTGACTTTATGACTGTGCATGATGAGCAGTTAGGGCTGCAGTCATTAGGTGACACATGCTAAGTTCTTGGTCTCTATTAAGCAAACAAGCAAATCGTTGTTTTTCAAAAGTTTGGAAAGGATGACAGATATCTGCTCCAAAATCCCAAGAGTTTATGCTGTAATTCACCAATAAAAAAAGCAAAGAACCAAACTCACTCCCATTCAGTTGTTTCTGACTCATAGGGAAACTCTGCATGGTTTCCATGGCTTTGTAAATCTCAACAGGGCAGACAGCCTCATCTTTCTCCCATGGAGCAGCTGGTGGGTTTGAACCTCCTACCTTGAAGCCGGTTGTCCAATGTTTACCAACAGTGCTGCCAAACCAACAAAGGTCTGCAAAAGACTCTATACAGCATCGCTGTTTGACGCTCATACCGTGAGACCCATTGGTGAGCCAGATCATCTAGTCCAAGTGGCAATTCATACAGCACCCTGAACCTGTTGCAGAACCACCTCTTGTTTGGGACCCCACTCAAAATTAGCAGATTTTTGTTCCCTGGATAAATATGCCTAAATAGCATACCCAGATGAGAGATTTTTGCTTCCAGTCTCTGAAGAGGCCCACAGGTGTGTGTCTCCTTTTTAGTTATGAGAGAGACCAGATGTAACAACTTATTCTTCACTTGAGGCAGCACATCATTTGTGTGTTTGTTTGTCATAAGTTTGTCAATAAAGACTCCAAGTCTATTTCAACTTTACTTTTCCTCCTCTTATTTTTTTAAGTCACTCAAACCACTATTTAAGTTGGAGGGAGAAGGAATCTGGATAGATTTTTGTTCTATTTTTAAAGACATATAGAACTATTATATATATGTACATATATATTACACAGCCCAGGAAATAAAATCAACTACAATATCCTGTTCAACCCTCCATTTTTGTTCCCCCTCCAGCCCTTCCCTCTCCCAGTTCCCACCCCATCCCTGGCCTCCTCACCGTCATCAAAGTCTTGTCTGTTGGTGTCTAAACCACAGTTCTTCTTCTTTGTTTTTCCTTGTAACAATGGTGATATTAAATATTTATCATTGTAAGAATGACTGAGTTTGGCTAAGCATAATGTTAGCTAGTTTTTTCCATGTCTTGCGGTGTTTAAGAAAGTTATCAATGTTTATTATTGATGAAGAAAATTCCATAGTATAAATATACCAGAACTTGTTTATCATTCCTCTAGAATTGGGGTTTTGGGTTGCTTCCATGTTTTTGCTATTGTGGAAATTGCTGCAATAAAAATACATGTACATATATCTGTTCATGTTATATACTTGATTTCTTTATACTATATACCCAGTACAGAGATTGCTAGATCATAAGGTACTTGGATTTGCATTTGTTTAAGAAGTGCCCTACTGATTTCCATAATGGTTTCATAATTCTACAGTCCCACCAGCAAATGTAAAAGCATTCCAATCTCTCCACATCCTTTCCAGCATTTGTTATTTTCTGTTTTATTGAATTTTTCCAAAAGTGTCAGTGTGAGGTGATATATCATTTTAATTTATAGCTCTCTTATTGTTAATGATCTCAAACTTTCTTAATATGGTTGTTGGCAGCCTTTAGGTCCTATTGTCTATTCATGTCTTGCACCTATTTGTTGATTGTATTATTTGTAATTTTTCTTGCTAAGATCTTACCGTTTTATACAGGTTTCGGACATTAGTCCTTTATCTGATGTATTATTACTGAATATTTTTCCCCAATCTGTGGATTCTCTGTTGACTCTTGATAAAATCTTTTGTTGTGCATAAATGCCATGTTTTAGTAAGTTCCAGTTATTTATTTTGTCTTTTACAGTGTGGACACTTCGCTTTATGTTTGGTAGTGTGTTTATGCCTTGGATTAAGGTCCTTAAGTTTATGCCTATTCTTTCACTGATGCTCTTAATATTTGTGTGCTTTATAGTCAGGCCTTTGGTCCCTGTTGGGTTTGTTTCTGTACATGCTATGAGGTGTGGGTCTTGTTTCATTCTTTTGCAGGTGAAGATCCTGTGTTTCCAGCGCTACTTGTTGAAAGATTATCTCTTGTCCATTTAATATGTTTTAGTTCTTTATCAAAAATTAGGTGTCTATAAGTAATTGGTTATATTTCAGAATTTTCAATTCCAATTGATTGATCTTAATATCTGTCACTGTACAAGTACCAAACTATTTTGATTACCTAGACTATATAGAAAATTTTAAGGTCTGGGAGGGAAAGGCCTCTTAATTTATTTTTATTTTTAAAATAATGTTTCATATATCCTTTCCCTTCACATATAAAGTTGGTAATTAGTTATTCTATTTCTTTGAATAAGTGGAATTCGGATCAGAAATGCTTTAAATTTGTAAAGTAATTTTGTTAACATTTACATTTTCACAACATTAAGGAGATATATCAAAATTTGACATATCTTGAACTTTTAAATTAATATATTTAAAGATATTTACTGAGTATTTCAATAGTTTTATTCCCATACAATTCACATATCATACAATTAAGTAGCTCAATCATGTAAGAAGAGTTGTGTAATAATCACCACAATCAAACAGCAACAAAATAAAATAGAGAATAGCCTCAATTAAAAAAAACAGGTGATATGAAAATCTGGATAAATTTAATATGGGTCATAGATCTATAGTTTATATATGTGTCTGGTTCAATTTAGAGACATCATTATCCTGCTATTGGCACACCTAATAAATCATCCCATGGGGCATAATTAATTTAGCCTATAGTATCGAATTTAAAACTTGGAGGAGAAAATTAAATTACATATGTAAGGACAGATCTCTAGACCATAAACATGGATATTTTACTTGTACAGATAAAAAACTTAAGTAACTGGACACTATTTACACAAACAATGAGAGTTGGAGATAGGGAAAAACTTTCAATAACACTCATTCACAAAAGCAGAATCATGCCTATAGACTAATACATGTCATAAAAAGGCAAAGAGAGTACAGCTAAAAGTAAAAATATGGCAATCCCAGGCCACTATTACTTGAGCACCCATAAAGCAAGAGATCCAAATCAAAGTTCAACAGCCACCAACTCCATAGTCTTTAGATCGCAGTTATCTACGCCTCACACTAGGGCATTTCAGCCTTACGTCCAAGGAAGTCTATCAGTTCCTTAAATTTGCTAGAGGTAAATTTAAGGTAAAGTCCATTTACTTAGTGGGGTTTCCAAAGCAGATCTTACTGTTGTGGTCTGTGAAGGATGTTGGGCACCTCTAAGGACAGTCTAGCGTCCCAGTGGTCTAGAGTGCACAGCCTGTATCACCAAAGGCTGTTTAGAAACTAAGTCAAAATATCCAATTAGGAACATAACACAGGGCATATTCTCCCCTTAGTGTCTATATAAGTAATGTTAATGTTTCTCCTAATGGCAGGTTCCCCCACTATTTATGGAGTATTCTTAATATGTCAAGAACTATTCTAGTTTATGCAATGAAACAAATAATGTCCATGCCCTCCTGAAACAAGAGACACATGCAATTAACAAATAAAGTAAACTACATTTCTTGCCAAATAAAAAACAAAATAAACAAAAATATCTCCCAATAGCATAAACACATGCCATTATTTTTCTCATCTTAAAAAAAGGGGGTATCACACAGAGAGAGTCCACAATGCATAACTACAACCTGTAGGTGTGATATATAAAACATACACATAAGAGTATTTTGAAAATGAAGAGAATAGCTAGAGACCTTGGACTCCGATAAACAACACAGAGAAGTTCCCTGGACCTCATTTTCCCTTGTGTCTTCCTCCATGGAAACAGAAGACATTGGTGCCAATGAACAGATCAAAAAAGTTCCAACATAAACCAACTTTCTAGAAGTAGCATATTAGGACAGAAAGAGCCGCACACTATCAGAATGACAAAAATGAGATGAGGAGAATGTGAAGAAACTGGATCACTCGTAGATTATCACTCAGACATGACTGACGGAAATGTAAAATTGTACAGTCACTCTGGAAAATAGTTTGGCAGTTTCTTAAAAGCAAGCATGCCATTGCCATATAACCCAACAATTTCACTCCCAGATGCTTGTCTGAGTAAAATAAAGATTTATGTTCACACAAAAATGTATACATAAATATTTATAGCAGCTTTATTAGCTCTATACCATGAATTACAACTCAGCAATAAAAAGGAAACTGACATATGCAACAACTTGTATTAAGTATATCTTAAAAACAATTTGGATTAGTGAAAAAGCCTATCCAAAGGGTTGCATACTATGTGATTCTTTTTATATAATAGTCCTGAAGTGATAAAACTATAGAGAGGGACCACACCTAGTTACCCAAAGTTAAGCTTGTTGAGAAAATAGGAGGCAAGTAGATGAGACAATATAAAGACCAAAGAAGGGATCTGAAGAGTTATGCTTTTTACTGTATCAATGTTAATATTGTGGCTGTGATAGTGTACTGTAGTTATCCAACTTGTTACCATTAATAAAATTATTCAAGTGGTACATAGGATAACTCTATTATTTCCTACAACTGCATGGGAATTTACAATTGTCTAAAACAAATACTTAATTTTTAATTAAATACATTTATAAGCTTCTTTTTTTAGGTTGTACAGTCTATAGACCAACTAATTCAGTATTTTCAAAAAGCCAATGTCTTTAAAGAGATTGAAAAAAAAGTAAGATATGGAAGCTGTTTGAGAGAAATAGAAACTTCAGAGCTGTAACCCTCAAATTCAATGTTTGAATTTTTCATAATCTCTTACCAGAAAAATCTGGTAAAAAGCCTAGTTTGTTCAAACAAACCAAATATAGAGGCTATTTAGGGAACAAGTAGAAATACTTGAATATGAAGTTGGTATTAGAGGATATTAAGATATTATTGATAATTTCATAAAACATAACAATAGTCACATAAAAGAAAGTCCTTATTTGTTTTTAGATGGGAACTGTAATGTTCAGGGGTGAATGTCATGATGTAATTATTTTATTTTAAGTCCTTTAATTCAGAAAACTAGATTAAAAGAATACTATAAATTATTAATAGTTATTAAATTATGTAAAGAATATTTGGAAACTTATTAAATTATTTTGTCAAAATTTATGTATATTTGAATTGTTTAATAATAAAGCATAACCTCTTTATTCTATTTCCTCCATCATGTAAAGAATTTTCAGCAAAATTCTTGGAAGGAGTGGCTAGTAGTCACTGTCTCTAGTTCTTTTTCCATTCTCCTTTTACGCTCTCTAATCAGCCTCGCTTCCCTTCCACTCTTAAAACATTTCTCCTCAAAATTGTCAATTACCTCAATGACAATAACTCCAGTCAATTTTCAGTTCTCATTTGCTTACCTTATTTGACACAGTTGAAGCCCTCCTGTATCCTTGGTAAGTTAGTATTGATTCAAAAGATGCTAGTTTCTCTTGACTTTACTCCTACCTCACTAGTTGTTCCCTCTGAATCACCTTTGCTAGGTCTTACACTTCTCCCTAATCTCTTAAAATGAGATACGTTAGTTGACATATCTCGACCAATCCCTGGAGAGCTGCCTCATTCTGGGTAAAGTAGAATGTCGGTGAAAATCAGGAAGCTCTTCAATGAGATTAACATAAGAGTTGCAACAATGGGCTCAAATATAGCAATGATTGTGAGGATCATTCAGGACTGGGCAACATTTCATTCTGTCATCCATAGGTTAAGGATTAGAACTGACTTGATGGTACCTAACAATGAATGACAACAAATGACACCAATCTTGTCACTCCACTTCCTTCCTTGCTCCTTATTCTCCACACAGCAGTTAAGATGATTCCATTTAGAAGACAGACCAGCTCATCACAGTTCACTTTTCAAATCCCTCCACTAAGAGAAAAAGACAAAATTCCTGCCATGATCTATAACCCTTACAATGTTTCGGCCTTAGTGCCTCTCATATTTCCCTTCTTCCTCGCATTCACTGTTCCAGCCAGAATGGCATTTGCTTAGTTTCCACTTGCTGGATCACTCCATGAATTGGTGTGGCTAATGTTCTAATCTGTTTCAAATATACAGAGTTTATCTGGTAAATAGGCATAAGCTGACTACCATATTTAATATTATATCCTGCCAGTACCACCACCTGAAGAAAATCAAAACACATTCAGGAGAGCCAAATTACAACCTTGAATTTATCCCATTTGAATTTCAAGAATATCTCAATAACACATTTGATGCACTGAGCACTAATGACAGAAGACCTAATGAGCTGTGGGAGGACATCAAGACCATCATTCATGGAGAAAGCAAAGGTTATTAAAAGGACAAGAAAGAAAGAAAAGAACAAAATGAATGTCAACACGTTCTGAAACTCCTTCTCTATAATAAAACAGCTAAGGCAAATGGAAGAAATGATGAAGTCAAAGAGCTGAAAATAAATTTTCAATGGCAGTTCAAGAAGATAAAGTAAAACATTATAATTAAATGTGCAGAGACTTAGAGTCAGAAACACAAAAAAGGAAGAACACACACAGCATGTCTGAACATGAAAGAACTCAAGAAATGATTCAAACTTCCATATATAGTCTTGACATAATTGCTGACATCAAAATGGGTGCATAAGCAAAGGTGGTGAAGAAAGCTGATGGTGCTTTAAAAAGATATAGCATCTGCAGTCTTAAAGGCTTGAAGTTAAACAAGAGACCGTCTAGCAGGGAAGCAACAAAGCCCACGTGGAAGAAGCACACCAACCCATGTGATCTCAAGGTATTAATGGGATCAGGTATCAGAAGACCCCAAACAAATAAGTATATCGATGCAAATGATGGGAGTCAGAGTGGAGATCCAAAACCCATCTGTAGACAATTGGGCATTCCCTCACAGAAGGGTCACAAGGAAAGAACAAGACAGCCTGGGTGCACTGTAGCACTGACGGAACACACAACATTCCTCTAGTTCTTTAATGCTTCCTCCCCATTTCCCCCAGTTCTATCTTACAAATCCGGCTAGACAGAAGCATGACACAGATACAGATACGAGTTCAGCCCATTAGTAGGCCACTGGAGATCCCCTTGCAGAGGGGTCTCGGGGAGGAGATGAGCCAGTCAGGGTGCGATGTAACAATGATGAGAAATACAACTTTCCTCTAGTTCCTAAATGTTTCCTCCCCGCTCCCACTACCATGACTCAAATTCTTGCAAGTCTGGCTAGACCAGAGGAGGTACACTGGTACAGATAGGAACTGAAAATACAGGGAATCCAGGACGGATGAGCCCTACAGGACCAGTGGTGTGAGTGGCAAAACAGGGAGGGTAAAGGGAGAAGGGGTAGGAAAGAGGGAACCGATTACAAGGAAATGTGTGTCACCTCCTCCCTGGGGGACAGACAGCTGAAAGGTGGGTGAGGGGAGACGTCGGACAGGGCATGATATGACAAAATACCCATTTATAAACTATCGAGGGCTCATGAGGGAGGGGGGAGTGGAGAGGGAGGGGAAAAATGAGGACCTGATGTCGGGGGTTTAAGTGGAGAGAAAATGTTTTGAGAAACAATGTACAAATGCGCTTTACACAATTGATGTGTGTATGGATTGTGATAACAGTTGTATGAGCCCCTGATAAAATGTTTTTTTTTTTTAAAAAGAGAATACAGGACAGATAACCCCCTCAGGAACAGTAATGGGAGTAGAGACAACATGGCAGGGAGTAGGTGGAGGGATAAGAAGACGAAATGGGGAACCAACTACAATGATCAACATATAACTAGGAGGACAATAGAAACGTGGGCAAAGGGAGACAGCAGATGATGTAAGATATGAAAATAATAATCCTTTATCAGGGGCCCATGAGGGTGGAAGGGTGAGGGAGAGAGGGAAAAAAGAGGAGCTGATACCAATGGCTCAAGCAGGAAAAAAAATTTTATTTGAAAATGATGATGGCAACATATGGACAAATGTGTTTGATAAAATTAATGTATGGATAATTATAAGAGCTGTAAGAGACCCCAATAAAATGATTTATTAATTTAAAAATATGTAGTCTTGAAAGCTTCTATAAGCATAAATATTGAATGATGGAGGAAGCATCAAAAGAAGATGGAAATAATACAGAGTCACAGTAACAAAAAGAACTAGTATACATTCCACTACTTCAGGAGGGAGCATATGAACAAGAATCAATGATACTGAAAGAATTCCATGCTGCACTAAAAGCATTAGTCAAAAACAATCATTAGCTCCAGGAATTGATGGAATATCAATTGAAATGTTTCAAAAAGTTGATGAATCACTGGAAGCACTCACTTATTTATGCCAGTAATTTTGGAAAGCATCTGCTTGGCTAATTGAATGGAAGAGATCCCTATTTGTGCCAATTCCAAAGAAAGTGACAAAACACAATGTTCCAATTATAGAATGATACCATTGATATCACATGCAAGTAAAATTTCGCTGAAGATCGTCCAACTAAAGTTGCAGCAGTAAATTGACAGGGATTTTTCAGTACATTGGAGGAAAGTTTATTAACAACCGGCAATATGCAGATGACAAAACATTGCTTGCTGAAAGTGAGGAGAACATGAACCTCTCGCTGATGAAGATCAAGAATTGAAACCTTTAGTATGGATTACAAATCAATGTAAAGAAAACCAAAATCCTCACAATTGGACCAGTTGTGGTACCAGAGAAGAATACTGAAACTTCCATGGACTGCAAAAAAGATAAACAAATGTGTCTTGGAAAAAGTATGGCCGGAGTGCTCAGTAGAGGTAAGGATGGGGAGACTTGTCTTACGTACCTTGAACTTGTTGTCAGGAGAAACTAGTCCCTGGGAAGCATATTAGGCTTGGCAGAGAGACAGTGAAAAGGGGAAGGCCCCTCAATTATACGGATTGGCAGAGCCACTGCAGCAATGGACTCAAGCATAGGAACAATTGTGAAAAGGGTACTGGACAGGACAATGTTCTGTTCTGTTGTGCATTGCTTTGCTATGCACTGGAGGTGTTTTGATGCAATCTAACAACAACCACCACTTCACATGTACCCAACGTTTATAATAGTTTTACTTAGATCACTGGTTCCTGTGTTAGACCAGGCTGACTAGAGAAAAAAATCCAGTGACACTCATATATATGTGTAAGAAAGAACTTTATATCAAGAAGTAATTATATATCATGAAACAATCCCGGCTCAGTCCAACTCAAGTCTATAAATCCGATACCAGTCCATCAATCCCTCTTCAAACTCACTCAGTTACATGCAATGATACAGAATGCTGGAAAATCACAGGCTGATGATTGCAAAGTCACGTGCATCCAACCTCAGTGGAAAGCTGGCAGGGCCCCGCCGCTCTCACGGTGGCCAGCAAGCAAGAAGGTGGAGGCAGAGAGAAGAGGAGGTTCCCAGGATCCTCCTTCTGAGAAGGCCACACGGAGAAGGAGGCACCATCAGTGTGTTACTTGAATGACAGGTTGGATACCACCTGTACACGCTTATATATCTTCAAATTGACATAAAATTATGCAACAAACACAGTTTGCAAATGTATTTAACTTACTGCCCTCTTTTAAGAAAAAAATTACTCAGCTGCCCCCTAGGCATTATAAATGTTGGTACTAGAGCCCATAATCCAGGATAAAATGTCCACATCTGCTTCTGAATCATTCCAGAATCCACCCACCTCCCACCCCTGGAAGTGGTATTGTCCACTTTGGGAAACACTGACCCAGATTCACTTTTTTTCAGTACTTAATACATTCTTGGGTGAAGGACGAGACTTTCTACTCATGTAAAGTTAGTCTCAAACTCACAAGAGCAGGTCTATCCTTTCTGATAGGGTTGCTGTTAGTCACCATCAACCCAATAGCAGTGAGTGCCTGACAGGCTTTTGAATGAGGAGAACCCTGTGGCCTGATGCCTGAGTATGGTTTGGTCAAGCCTTAGCAGCCTTCACAATTGCATAACCGAGCTGAGTGCATGGCAATGAGCTTACTTTGATTAATAACTTCATACTTATTAACTAACATGCTGTTTTTAGATGTTGTCTCCCCTCTGTAAAACATAAATTTTGTGAAGAAGAGACCTTTGGGTGACAAAAAGGGCACAAGAGAGTAGGCCATTTATAAATATTTGCTAACAGACTACATGAATATTTATTTTATTTTTACCACTATCATTTACCAAGGTGAAAAATTGCATGTCAAATATCCTATTCAATCATTTTTCACTCTATTATTTAAGCTCAGCAGTCCATGGATTCCATAATTAATGTAAAAAAAAGATGCTTTTTAAAGTTTTATTTATTTCTAAGCATTTTATATCATACTTATTATAACACTTGTATTTCTTGTCCTTTTTTCTCAGAACAGAAACAAACATAAAAATAAAACTCACAAAATGTGGGAAGATCATCCTGAGTGTCATAATGATGGTGATTGCGACAGTAGCCATTGGACTCATTGTTTATTTTGTTGCTTTCCGTAAGTACTCATGATGTCTGTTTTTTTGGTCACATGCACTTATCAGTTGCATTATTGGAATCGTTGAGAAACGTGATATTTGAGGCAGAAATGGAATCAGATAGGATTTTTTGCCACAGAGCATTCCTTATGGCGACTATGACGTTCACGGAAACGTCATTCTCTAGTGACCGTTAGCTGTAGGCATTCTACTACCAGACATTCATTGAACGCGCTGTTTCTTTCTGGGAAACGGTAGGTGCTGGGAATAAACAGGAATAAAGTTTTCACAGTCTCTATCTTTGCTGAATTTATAGCATGCTGAGGAGATGATCAACAAGCAAATAATTTTTTTT